ATGGTTCCTGCCTACTCAATCTTCCCATGCAAGGCCCTCTAGTGATGCAGCGTGTAATATATACACACGGTCACTTTACACTTTAAATTCTTCCAATTTAACATTACATGCATCAACAGGACATATGTTAGTATTGCCAAATCAGGAGCACTTTAGGTCTTTCAATAAAGACTCCAGAAATTCTGTTGTTTCTGATTCAGACAAAAACTAAGCTAAATTCTAATCTATAATGTGTTGTTTCTTATGATGATTGTCATTTCAGCCATGAGACTGCTATTTTTATCTCTAATTGCTGAAAATAAAGAATGTTATGATGAATAATGATTGTTATGGTGTAGTAAATTGCGTATTTTGTCTGCTTGTATAAGAAAAAGATCAGTGTGGCACAATGTTTGGTAGCACTACTAAGAAGGAATCAGATTGTGCATATGTAATGGGAAAATATGACTGCCCTCATATACTGTATATAGATAATTAGAAGCTATACATACAAACAGTTTATTTTTAATACATTAACACACTTTAAAATAATATTTTCTTTAGGCTGATCTTGTGTTCTTATACAGTATAAAAAATAAACATTATCATGAAAACAGTTCCCTTTAAGATGTCACCTTTTTTTGCCACAGATTTAGCCTTTTAAAGTGGACCTATACGTACATTTTCAAGTCTGTCTGAATACATTCCTGGCACGTCCAAATAGAAAGAGACAGTGTAATTATCTAAGAAGCTCTTCCTTTTATAATTAAAAAGCAGACTTTGTGCTCCAGACAATTGACTTTGCCCAGGCCGAGATGATGTCATCAATCTTCTACAGACAGGTGGAAGCATTTCCTTAATCTCCCCCAGTCTGTACATTGTAACTCTGTAGCATGTCACCAAGGTGTTGCTGCAGGGGCTAATCTGTACCACATACTGTATTTGTGAGCACAACTAAAAAATTCACAGGCACCAGGAATTACACAATTGTTTATCTCTGAGCTTACATCCCAGTTCAACTGACTCTGGATGATGCCTGAAGATTATGCTGCTGCTCTCATGAGAAAAGCAGATGAAGGCATTATCAGGGGGAGTACTGCAATCTCAGTGAGAGGTAATAAATGCTCTTTTGTATTACACTTAGCCTTTGTTCACATCACTGCGATGCAGGGGCGCATGCGATGCCTCATGAAATTGCATTTGCATATTGCAATGTTAGGTGTGCTGCAGTACCATTATTTTTTAATGGCACCCCAGTGCACTAAGCCATTGCATGTGTGTGGCATTGCACCACATTGCATGGTAACCTATTACTATGCATTGTGGTGCAATTTTAGAAAACGTGCATGTAATTATTTGAGTTACATTACTTAGCAGGCTGCACTGCGTGGAACATTATATAGCTTGGCTTTAGCACTGGGCAGTCATATCATCAGCCTTGTACACTGGCAATGCCAGTGCTCACTGAGTGGGCATTTTTTGCTGTTGTCACCATCAGGAAGCATACTCTAAGCAATGGCATGCAGGGTATGTATGTAGACAAGAAGTTGCTGTTTAGGATGAGCAAACCTGACCAAGTTCAGTGAACCCAGCAGGAAGTCCACCAGCCCTGAATTTAGTGGAAAACCCCATTTATGTCTATTGGAGGTGAAGCTAGTTATATTTTTCCGGCATTTTTCCAGAATAATATGCAAGCTATTCTTGTTACCTGGGCACTGCTGTGGGGTATATGAAACAATGCAATTTTTATTTAATTTTTTTAATACTGAGAATGTTTATTCATGTGGCTTAACATTGAAAATGCAGAAATCCCTTTAATAACATGATTAGGGTGCGCCCTAACACTGCATGTAGTGTTATGTAATAGCACTATATAGTCCTATAAAAGTGACAGTAAAAAAAACCTAAAAAATAGCATGAGTTCCCTGCTAAAATTCATCCCGGAACCTTATCCAGGAAATGTCTCTCTCCTAATGTAAAACCATTGTCAGTCATGTTGTCCAGTGATTTAAATGCTAAAGATTTCTTAGATTTGATTACCTTAAATGGAGGACACTAATGTGTGAACACTAGGTTCATCAGTATAGTGCTCTGAGGTGTAACCAGGCTATGTCCATGGTGTACAATCTTTAGGTTCCAAATGGAACTGCTATAATGTTTTTATGCTTTTCACACCTAAAGTACACCTGTGCCCAGACTATGTACATTAAACTATTTGCATACTCTTAACAAGCAGTAAGCTCGAGTTTTAAAACAGGTCCTCACTTAACTCTGTAGCTGCTTGTACTGTGAAGTATTTTGTTCTCAAAGATCGTCAAAGATAACAAAGAGTTACCATTCAGGTTTTAGCTGGTTTATAACAGTTTCAAAAAACTTGCTGGTTGTTTACAAAAAAATAGCAATCATGCTGCCAAGATCTGCTCTCAGAAAAAAATCTGACAGTTTTGAAAATGTATTTTTCTGCAATGTCTATAACTGCAGAGGTGATTTATGGCTTGTTTAAAGTGTTTTTCCACCAGGGTGCCATGGCACCCTGGTGTGCCTTCTGGCTTCCTCAGGGGTGCTTCAAAAATGTTCATTATCATTCAGTCATGTCTCTGATGCGAAGCAGGCTCCTGATTTGAAAGAGGGATACTCTGATGTAAAGAGGGGCTGTAATCTTAAGTGTAGATCCATGAATCCATTGCACTCCTGACCGCTTATTTCCATGAAGAAAAGATCGGGTGCTGCGGTTATCGACGGACGGCAACCGTCATACAAAGTAGAAAGCAGGGACACCGGCACTCCAATATAAAACAGAAGTCTTATTTATTTGAAGAAAAACGACATGTCACAAAAATGCGACGACCGTTTCGGGGTCACGCAGGATCCCCTTCCTCAAGCTAATTAATCAATATGTCATGATATGAATACACATTGATGTAGAGGATGACAAATACAAGGAGAGTCTACAGAAAGTATATAGACAGCTATCTTTCAGGCAAAAAACATGATAGGGCGAGGTTGGTATTGAGTCCCCTGGGGATAACGGTATCCAGTCTGCGGATCAAGTGCTCCTCACACTGAAGAAGCAACTTATTGTGATCGCCACCCCTGGGGGGAGGGAGAACCTGGTCAATCACCATGCCCCTGAGCTCATGTGTCTGATGTTTAGATTTGGCAAAATGTATGGCTACATATTGCAAGCATAACTTTTAAAGCATCCTGTGCATTCAGACAGTTTTATGGGTGTCTTGCAGTATTTGGGCCTTGGATCCGCTTGGACCAAATGGTCCCCAAGCGTTTTGCTACCTCGGTATGCATGTACAGGAGGTGTCTTGATGCTAGGGGACAATGATTTGCCAGCCCTCAAGATGTTGAGGTTCCTCATCACTGACTTACAAGCTAGATGTGATGAATCATTAAAGGTCTGGACAAAGGGGAGTCTATCACCCAATGTTTTGACTCTATGGGGTTGATTTACTAACCTTATAAACACACCACGAACATGTATACACCTCTGTAGTGTGTTCCCTCCCAGCATGATCTATGGGTGGAATCTAAACACCTTTGTAGTGTGTACACACCCAGCAGGTGTGTTGTGCAAAGCCTTGCATGAATTGCAAGGTGATGTTGTGTAAATTAGCCCTATGGGGGTGATTTACTAACCTAAACACACGCACGCACTTGCTTCTACTATCTATACCTTCTCTCGCTCTTACTTGCCTCCCCTTCCTATAATGTCTGTTACCGAATATAATGTATCTTAGGAGCGAGTGCAGCATCACATAATGTGTTTTACTAATGCATACACGTCGGATCTATTGTCATCCCCAAATCTGTCATGTCAATGGGCTTTGTATTAGTTATTGATGGCATCCCCTCAATGCATTATGTCGTGTATGCGGTTGCTATTTATTACTTGTTAACTGCACCAATATCGGTTGTGAAAAACTTTAATAAAGATTTATATGCTTAAAAAAAAAGAAATGTATTTGTAGACATTTTTGAAACTGAACTATGGGATTTAAAAAAAAAAACTCTTCCAGTGCCCGCTCACTGCAAGGGTTAAATGCTTGTTAAGTCTAGTAGTAGAGGAATAAGCTCTAATACTTAAGGTGCCCATACACCTGCCGATTATCGCACGATAATCGCGGGTGATCCCGCGATCGAACGATAATCGGCAGGTGTATGGGCAGTGTGCGACCGCATCTACTGTACGGTAACACGATTCCAAAACAGGTATGTCTGATATACAGAGAATCTTGCAGTTCAGAAATCGACATAATCCTAAATCATCAATTGTATGCATGAATATATTTAAGTGAATAAAACCAATTTTACATTCCCCAACTCATTCATCGATAACTGACATGAGAGAGAATGGTAAGAAGGTAGGGGTAATGCAAAGGTTGTTGGATCAAAGAGAACTCAGTGACTCACTCTGCACTCAGATCATTCTAGTGAGTTCTTATGTCTATGTGAGACAGAATATCTATGTGAGCATATATATCTATATCTATATCTATCTATCTCTCTATCTATCTGGATAGATAGAGAGATAGATAGATAGATAGATAGATAGATAGATAGATAGATAGATAGATAGATAGATAGATAGATAGATAGATAGATAGATAGATAGATAGATAGATAGAGATAGATACATTTTGCTTTACAAGTAATTTTACTGCATTGTCAGATTCCAAAGCCTTATGAATTTTCCAAATTGAACTATGAATGATGTTTCCTTCCTGGAATAATGCCTGTGCTGGAAATTTCAGAGATGACTAAAAGGGGGTGACCTATCCCCCATTAGTCACTCACCACTCTGACAAAGGGCTTTTGCCCATTGCTCCACCTCCTGGTTAAAAATTCTAAATATTAATATGCAACATTAAAAAAAGAAGAAAATGCACTTTATGCATTTTATTTGTTAATACTGACCAATATAAATAAAGAAAATTAAAACAAAAATGCCATATATTTCCTTAATGTAAACTATGGTGCTAACATTTACAATCTTGAATTCTTTTTTTTAGCTTCCTATCCTGGCTTCATCGGTGGTCAGTCTGTACTTTCTGGAGTTAACAGGTGTCTTTAAACCAGTTCATTCAGGATTTAGCTGCTATGACAGAAGCCTTAGCATGCCCTATATCGAACCTCATCAAGAATCAATCCCATTTTTAATGTTACTCTGCTTAGCATTTGCTGGACCAGCAGCTACAGTGAGTATATATATTTTATTTTCTATATTTGAAGAGTGCTTTCTCCACTATTTTCAGGTGGATTTCTTAGTTAACTTAAGCTTTTAAAGGGGTTCCATAGTGTGTGTTTTCTGTGATTTATATGATTTTGGCATTAAGAGTCTGTGCACATTGTGGGGAAGTCGAATCTCTAAATGGCTATAATCTATGCCCCACTGAGATCACACTTCCAGCCCAGAAAGAATGAAAAAGAGAGACAGTCAATATTAGCTTGGGTGATTACCGGAAACCAGGGCCCCCTAACTGTATAGCTGCCTTAACCATATAGCTGCCTATTTTCCCCATAGACCAAATTTAAGATAAGCCTGGTTCTGCTAAACCCCTGCACTTCAACTTGGATCCTGCTATGTTTTAAATAAACTAAACTCTTCAAATCCCTATTTCTCTCTCTTCCAAAATATTTTATGATATAAAGAAGGGTTAGGCAGGTTCACTGGAGCATCTTTCAATCTCTACACTACAAAAATACTCTGTTCCAAGAATTATACTGTACTATTCCATACTTTGATTGTCTGATGTGGCTGTCAATCAGAGATTGGTGCAATACTGCACACTTTTCATCATTATAGGGATATGTACTGTTGGGAGCCAGTGAAGTAAAAATAAGCTGCCTGAGCCTTGCAGGTTTTGCAAACTTTTTCTGAAAGTCAAGTGTTGATTTTACACAAACAATTTCAGGGTCCAAGCTAAAGGAGGTCCAACCAGATTTAGGCTCAAGTGTACTTGGGCATAGGTGCACAGAGATTTCTAAAAGTTGAGACAAAGATGTTACAAGGGGTTAACATGGCATAGTTTCCAACTGGCCCTAAGTATGTTTGTACCCGGCAATGTCCATCATGTGCTTTGCCCACCTGTACCAAAAAATCCTTCTTTTTATGTTATGATAAATGTATTTAAATGTATTGTATTGTAAATGTATGCCTATTGTTGTTGCCTATTAAATTATGATTTATCAAAGAGCAGAATTTGAATAATTAAATGTGCCATAATTGAGTATGTAACAAATCATGAACCTCTGAGCAATGTTGTATATTTTACATTATTTGCTGAAATCACCGCCTGTGGCAGTGAGTTCCAGATCCTAACTGATCTTACTGTGAAGAACCCCCTTTGCCCCTTGTGCTGGAATTTTTTTTCCACCAATTTTAGGTGGTGGCCTCTAGTTTTTGTAATGGAGTTAATTTTAAACAGTTTATCGCTAATGTTGCTACCACCGTTGAACATTTTGTACATGGAGATCATATCCCCCCTTAATCTCCTCACCTCCAATGTGAACATATTTAAATTTAGTAGCCTTGTCTCGTAGCTCTGGTCCTCCATACCCCTAATTAGTTTGGTTGTCCTCCGCTGGACTTTTTCCAACTCAAGGACATCTTTTCTTAGTACTGGTGACTAGAACTGGACCGCGTACTCCAGATAAGGTCGAACCAATGATCTATAAAGTGGCAAAATTATAGACTTGTCCCTGCAATACATCCCCTTTTTAATACAGGACAAAACCCTGCTAGCTTTGTTTACAGCAGCCTGGCACTGTTTACAGCAGCCTGGCACAAGTTGCAATAGTCAAGACGAGATATAACGAGTGGTTGAGTAATTTTGCGGTTTCATTGGTGAGGAAGGGGCGTATTCTGGAGATGTTACGAAGGTGAAGGTGGCAGGATTTGGATAGTGATTGGATGTGGGGAAGAAAGGTGAGGTCTGAGTCAAGGATGACACCAAGGACCTTGGCATTGGGGGAGGGATGGAAGGTTGAATTTTAAGAAGTGTTGTGACACCCAGACTGATATGTCAGTTAGTAGATTAGTGACATGCAAGGAGACTGAGGGGGTGAGTTGTGGAGTAAAAAGATATATTTGAGTGTCATTGGCATAGAGATGGTATTGGAAGCCCTGTGAGGTTATTAACTGACCAAGGGAGGAGGTGTAGATAGAGAAGAGAAGGGGTCCAAGGACAGAGTCTTGGGGCAAAAGGTAGATAATGGTAGTGTGTCATATACTAACTCACAGCAAATGTTCACCTTTCAGAAGTTATGCATTCAGAACAATAAAAGAAGATTGTTAAATGCTGATTGGCTGATGTGGGTTACTGCGCTTTTCACTGTACTATTTGCTTATTGCATAAAGCCCACTGATTACTTGAGGCATTTTGCTTTGTTGATTTGCTGCCTACGTATTCAACCAAACATTCTAAAGCTAGCAAAAAAAAAAAAAGATCAGCTATCAAAACAATCAAAAAGGTAACTGACAAGGAAGAAGTAATTAAACGGATAATGTGCAGACATTATTTCTTGTACACAACATCCAGAATGTCAGCCTGGATACTGTGTACAGCAGTTCAACTCTGAACATTCTCAAATTACCCATGCATCGAACCATCACCAGTTTAACTTTTTCCCCCAGACAGTTAATCAATTTCAAAGCAAACTGTTTCCAGCCAAAGCCTATTCTTCTGATTGATGTTGACAGTAGGCATAGCTACAAAAATGTGTAACAAGAAAAATTATTACAACAGATCAACAGTAGTTCTAGTTTAAATCATTTATACAAATTATAAGGCTAGCCAGTTCCCTAAAAAGACAAATACACAGCATACATACAGTATATGGGAACTGTTTTACCTGGCAAAGCATTTGTATGTCTGTCTATCCAGCCCCCTCACAGCACAGCTAGCTGAATGACACCACATGCTGGTATTCTCTCTCCACTCCTAGCCTAATGACTGGACATCAAAAGAGCAGCTGGGGACTGATTAGGTCATCCCTCTGCTTACTCTGTTCTCTCCTCCCTTCAACACATTTGCATACAGTACATATGATTTGCTCCCAGTTTTGCCCCTTCCTTTCCCAGTCTGAGAATTGCAAAAGACCAGGAATAGACACACTCCAGCCCTCCAGCTGTGGTAACACTAGAAATCCCATCATATTCTGCCTTTGGGAGTCATGCTTGTGTCTGTCAGAGTATTGCAATGCCTAATGGAATTGTAATTGCACCACAGCTGGTGGGCCAGTGTTTGTTTTCCCTGGAATAGATTGTTACCAAGCCAAATTTAACTACTACAAGTAGTTGTCTATTTAAATACATTCAATGGTTAATTAATCATTGCAGAGCTATCTGGAGATCAGTTTTAGAGTAGACTTTACATAAAAATAACATCTAAAAGTATAATTGTGTCGCTGACTTAAAATAATGCACAACACTCACCACTCAGATTCTGCAGTCAGATCCATATTAAGAGGAACATCCAGGTGCTGGCAAAAGGCTCGCTCCCACCTGTATTCATTTTGGTCCAAAGAAAGCCACACTCAATGCTTCCTCCATATAAATCCAAATTTTATTTTAACCCATGGAACAGCAGACACCTTCCAAAGCTCCCCAGAATGAAAGAAACTCTCTCTTTACATGTTTCACCCACAGGGCTTAATCATGTTGCTAACTTAGTTTTATAATATAAGTAAATTGTGTAAAACATGCTCAATGCTATGGTTTGGGATAAAGATTCTAGCCTTGACCACTCTATTTTGGTATTTCTATGGTTGGTCCAATCAGAGTGGCTATTGCATGGCAAAGTAATCACTACTTCACTTTTGAAGAAATGAATCCAGTTTAATTATATCTAAATAATAAGGCATGGATAAACATGTACATGTTGATAAAGCGGTATTTGTCTTCCTCTAAAATAATACATTCCCCTTTTAAACAAAAAGCATACTTGGAATCATAATTGGCATATGTGCAAATTAACATATATATCACCATTGCATTTGTAAGCATTTTGTGTTCTAAATCATACACCCTGTCAGTGAAATCAGCATCTTCTCCCTCCACTGTTGATTAACCTCGCCTCTTTAAAGGTGCTAAGCAGATAAGTCATCATTGAGGGAATTAGACATGTGGTTGCTGCCACAACATAAGCAGGAGGTTGCATCCTTGCAACCAATAGTTTTTGTTTAGAATGTGGGTTTCCATGTGACCATGCGCCCAAGATCCTTATCCACATAGTGACCAGTTTATTGATTTCAATGTTAGCCCATTTTATTGACTTGCATATTCAAAAATACATAGGTACCCTGCTTCCGTACATCAAGGACACCAACATTTATTTATGACCTACCATCCAATGTAAATCCCATTATATCCACTTAGGCATTTCCCTCAGTTAGGGCTAACAATGGTAAATTATTTTATATTTTCAAATCCAAAAATGTCTGCCAACCTGAGACAATTTTGGCTTGATTTTAACTAGGGATGTACTGATACTTTTCGAGTAGCAGTGCCGATACTGCAACTACTAGGGTTGCAGTGATTGTAGCTGGGACCTGGCTCTGATGCTCCACCACTGTCCTGAAATTATTAGTCTGTATTGTTTTAGGAGTCACATGACAATAAACAAAAATGTATCAGTACTTGTACGTGTAAGTACTTGGGCAAGTATCAGTACTTGTACTTGCAAAAATGGTATTGGTGCATCACTTTATTTATATTTATAAAAACAAAATCATACATTAAAACAGAGATGTACAAATCCAAGGAGCTCCGTGTGCTCCTTACAAATGACAGCTGCCTACTAACTTTTGAATTTTTCTCTAGTCTAGTCTTGGAGCTCAAAAAGTATCTGAACTTGTACTTGTGCTTCTACCGAGTACGGTACTTGGTATCAGTGCATCCCTAAATTTTAACACATGATTTCTTTGCATCTAAAGAAATCTGATTTGGTAGGAGGTATAAAGTTCTTTGGTAAAAATAAGACAAGATTTGGTTTCGATTGGTGCAAACTAAGAACAGAGCAAATATTGATTGGAAATAGACACTTGTCTACTGCTGACAGACTTGATGCTGCCAGTGGCACTTTCGCTATGCTCCCAAAATTATTTGAGGTGGTACCAAAATGCAATTTCTTAGGACACATTCAATGCTAAGGAATCTAAAACTGATGAAAAATAGTTGGTGCAAGTATTGTGTTTA